CTATTTGTCACGCCACGAGTGGAACTGAACTCCGTGGACCTTTCGCTTCTTAAACATCCACTGAAAAAACACAGTATGGAGCACTGCCGTGCCTCAAATCTCTCTGAATTTCATCAGGGCTACGTTACAAGCCAAGACCTGCAGGACGAGGCTCAGAAAACAGGACTTGGCACATCTATCGGGAACATCTCCCACCCTGCCAAATGTTAGCGACGGCACGCTGCTTCTTCCAGCATGACGAAGCCTTTATTTGCACTGAATCGGGTCCCACTCCCTCGATCGGCATAGGGCTGGGTGAAAGAACAAGTTCAATGGCTAACTTTTCACAACCGTTACCTGAGCCTGCAGCACAGCCAAAGCGATGTGATAGGTGTCCACAGAAACAGCAACTGGGGACTGCTGAGTAACAGAGACGGGGAATTTCACAGCCTCAGCTGACAGATGGCAGTATAGCACCTAGAGAGAGAAGGAAGGGGATGAGTTTACACGCTTGGCGAGAGGCAGCCGTGCGATGGCAAAACCTCTACAAGCGACAGGCAAATTCGACCCACGGTGGCAGGGAATAAACACAGGGCTTACTCCCAGACTCAGTTCCATGCTGCGAACCTGCCATTTCAGACTGCGTACATGAGGCGGTAAAGACGTAGCGGTGACTTGAGCCCTCTTCTCCTCTTCGCCATAGGACCCCGATATTCAGGCTCAGCATCCATACACCCCAACTCCGCCAACACATCTTCCCTCCCAGGCTCTCCCAGAGCTCACCGACACACATTTTTTTTCCCAAAAGCCTGTCGACGAGCCACCGAACTCAACAACAGACCTCGCCTGAAACTTCCCTGGTTCCACCATCCCCATCGCATGGGCCTCAGCAATCTCTATAGAACACGCCGTCGGACAATGGAGAAACCCCACGCCGTACAATTCGGAACGGCCAAGTCTTACCATGCTGTGGTCCGATTGTCCCTTGCACGTCACGCGACTTATGTTTGTGGCTGGTAGCAACAGAGGGCCCTCTTCAAACGTGATCTGCACTGAACTCTACGAAAAGAGAACTCCGTTAGTCACCAGTGGTCAAAGTATCCCAGATACTTTCAAAGGGAACAAATGATTCTCATGTGGGGCCCGGACACGCTCCAGTCCCTTTCCACGAAGCCGGTCAGCAAGCAGAACCGCTGCACGCTGCAATTCTACCCACCTTGGCTTGTCCATATAGAGAAAGGAAACAAGGTCTCCAGTCAAGGCTTAGACTCACACTACACTAATTTCGGACAGACAAGCCCAAATGAGAATGGAACATTGCTCTAAATGGCAATCAACAATAAGTCAAGTGCATTAATCCTTCATTACAGAAGCTTTGCTGGTTCTTCTCTCTCTCTCCCCACCCACCTCCATGCTAGTCCTGTCCCAAGTTAAAAAAAAAATAAAATTAAACAATAACAAAACCCATCCTCGGCATACGGTACATCAGCTCCTGTGCTCGACTCGTGCCCTTTTTCCACCCTCTCCCCATTTATTAGATGACAGTCTCCACTGCAGACGCATCCCTCTTCTTCGTTTGAGGATTCCCCTTCATAACAGGACCGGTTCTCTACAAAGAACCCTTCTAAAGAAATATTGAACCAAGATAAGGAGTTGAGAACATCCCTGCACGAAACTTACCCCTCAAAGATGCCCTCTGCTCACAAGGGGAAAAAAAAGAGAGCGAGCAAGCGATCAGAGCACAAGGACGCGTGCGTTTGCTGAGCTGCTCGTGTTTTAGGGCCGGTGTGACCGAGAGGGAGGACAAAGGCATGGGAAACCGTGCTCTTTCTCAAATGAGAGAGACTGTGAGCCGCCACCTCTGTGCAACAGACAGAGCCAGGTGACGGGCGGAAGGGAGGTAGAAGGGACTCCCGGATGCTTATCTGAGCAGTATACGTGCTACGACCCAAAGAGCCGCTTGCCCACGAAAAAGTAGTCCGGATGCACACCCTCCTCTCAACGCAGACACGAGGTGGCTCTCCCAGTGACTGGACCTCAAAACTAAAAGACTCAATGGAGAAACTATGTTGGATTATTCCCTGCTGCTTTGCACTAGAAACACCTGCTACATCTTCTTCTCACAAGCCTCTTTGCACCAGAGCCATGCGTTCGCCCACCCAGGTCAGTCCAGAATATCAGATAGGCCCTTTCTCTCTGCGACCAGGACCTCTGCTCAATGACTCAAGTACGTAATCATCAGCAGCAAGTTTTAAGGCAAGTAACTGGAAAGCCAAACAAGAAATACGAAATACCAGCTGCTAACATTTAAAGATCTAGGGGAAAAAGTGTTACCTTGTGACTGAAGCCACTCTCTCGAGTACCAGGGACAAGAACGAGACACGGCCGGGAAGCAGATCGACCCTCACCTGCCCACTGCCGGCTCCCTCAGATCACACTCCTAGCAGAATGTGCCCAAATTCAGATGCCGGTGTGCTCCGACCATGAATGTGCTTCTACGAAGCTCCTACTACATGCGGTACCGTTCTCACGTTCACCTCGATTTGGAAACACGAGGAAACATGGGCAAATGTAGACCTGAACGAGATTAGGACGTATTTTTTTAAAATTCACCAAGCTGAAAGAAGCCGTGCAGAAACAACAAAACCACAAAAAGAAACAGACTATCCACAGGGAAGCGACCGAGCAACGTTCCTCCAGGACTTAGGACTCTGGAACTCTAGCCTCCCTCTATTACTCTTTTACAGCAAACCATGAGAATTCTATCCCAGTTTCAGTGTCTTCCTTTCCCTTTCTCAGGACTACGCACTGGGAAAAATGAGACGGCACACCCAGACAATGGTACAGACAGCTCTCAAGCAGGCAATCAAGACAGGAATCGATGGTTCTTCCCCAGCCATACCAACAAGCCTGCAGAAGCGGGCTTATAAATCCAAGTGCCGAGACTCTGCGCTGTTCTGCATCCGCGCCAAGAGCCTGACGTACTGGAGACTGTGGGCTCTTCCACAATAATTCCACTATTAAACCCAGCTTTGCAGAGCTGCGTTTCCTTACGGCTTTTTGTCATTCGATACAGCTAAAATAAAAAAACATGATAGTGAAAGGAGCTAAAAACACCCAGAAGAAAGTGAGATCGCTCACTTCTAAGCATAAATGTATCCCCGACTCCCCTTGGGACTTAAAAGGAGAGCAGGAGTGGAGTCAAACCAGGAGCGGAGACGTAACCACCGTTGATTCCGACAAGTGCTATCAGGCCTTACATCCCTTCCCTCAACCGGACGCAAGAATAATTTCGTAGGAGACAGGGACTAGGGGGAAAGGGGACCGCAAGAGAATGCTTCTCATGACAAGGCTACTGCGTTTTCAACGACAGAATTGCCATTGGTTCTAAACTGTGGTTTACCTGAAAACTACGACACACTGCAAACAAGAAGACACGGCTGCTTCTTCAAGAAATCAGCAGACTGTGCTTTGCGCAACTTCATTACAAAAAAACAAAAAAAACCCAAGCACCAAACATACACACACCCAGCCCATAAAAAGTCTCTGGTTCTGCGGTCTTTGGAAAGCGCGCGTGGACTACACAGAGAAGACTGCAGTCAACCCGAGGCTGACTTCTTCACCTAATCGCACTGAACTTTCAAAAGACTGGAGAGGTATTGTCTTCAAAAATTTTTGCGTTTACAGTTGGCGCTTTCATATTATTAAGTCCCTACTCTCTTCTCAGTTGGCAGCTCCCTAGATCACTTGAAAACTTAATTCCTCAAGGCACACAATGATAAGTTACTCAGCCTTGCAACACGTTAGCAAAGTCGCACGGACCAAAACTAAAATGGACTTACTTATTCTCCTGACACTACCTGTGGAAACGCGAATGATCTCGTATGAGTCAGCAAAGACTTCCTCAGCAGAACGCATCTTGCAACAACTCAGTACTGAAGCGCTAGCTGAAAGACGAAATGCTAATTTTCAATTGTTTTATTGCCTGACAAAGAAATACCTCAAAAACAAGGTTTAAAGGACATGCGTTTTAAAGGACAGTTGCAACTCTAGGCCAAACATTGCAACGCATTAACTTTCTATATGGATCGCAAAGTATCCCACCTCCGTCCCCGACTGAAGTCCGTGCCATTTCTTCTGCCAGTCCGAAAGAATTTCTGTGTCTCAATTCCAAGGCTCAAGGAGAAAACACTAGCAAAAAGATCATTGTTATGTCTCTCCCATTTAGAGTCTATCGGTCACTTTTACGAGGACTAAGGGGCTGAGCTGAGCGCTGGAATTCTGCGTCTCAAAAGCAGAGCGTTGGCAGGAACGGGATGCATGAGGGGCAGAAGAAGAAAAAGGTCCGAGATGAAGCATTTTCCCCAGCTACGCAGATGCAAGCATCTCCAGGTAACTTCCGATCTTATCCAGAATCCCACATCAGACACGGCCCCCCAGGATAACCACCGGGCCCTGCTTCAAAGAACGGCTTTTAGAGCCAGCAACTCACTGTGGCAAGGCCGCTTTCTGAGTAGACGTGTTCCAGATGAGGAGCGACTGCAGCAGAAACTGAAGCATGGCCCTCCAGAGGCCTCCGTGCCACTTCAGCCATCAGCTCATCTTCACCTCACAGGAGTTCTGAATTCTGGAACTTAGAAATTCAGGTCATTTTGTGAGAACCTGAGGAATTCTGCGTGTGAGCAGAGTATCAGATATGGGCAACTGCAGCGTTCTGACAAGAGGGGCACGGAAGAAGAGGGTGCGTTTCTACAGGGGGAGGCACTTCGCAAACGTTCTTGCCTCTGTTCAGCCCCTTGCAGAGTCCTCTCTCCAAAGAGAGAAGGCCACTGCCTGCGTGCGCTCCGTCTCAGAGAACAGCCCTCAACTTTCCCGTCAGGTCTCAAAAAGAGAAGAAGCGGTTGCCGTGGCTTGCCCTACGCGCCCTGCCATACCTAGCTAACTGCAGGGGGGCTGCTCAGCATCGCTCACGGCAGCACGTCCCCTCAACACGATACGTGTCGTATTGGAATGAACATGCTTTCAGTCACAAAAGAAAGAGCTGGCTACGAGGTTTCAACACCAGCAGGATTCGCAGGGCTTCGGCTTCTGTACAATAAATCAGCCAAGCATAACCCGACACTCAAGAGTTTTTCACAGGAAAAAAAAGGACCGCTTTTTCAGGATCTCAGGTTCAACGCTGCAACTGGCTATTCACATTGCTAGGGGAACGTGGCGAAGAGGAGGGAGGGAGAAAGGAATGGAAGCGGGCAGAAGGAAGCACTTTAGCAGCTGACATGTTAAACATCAGAGCGAGTTTCTCACGTTTTACCCAGTGTAACTGTCGAGGGCATAATCTTACAGTACACAGTCTAGTCTCATTTAGTTCCAGACAAAAGATTCCGTTCCAACAGCCCACAGCAGGGAGTCCCCCAGCCACCTTAGACAGCACCACCCTCTCATTCTTCTTGTACCTCATCCTGTAAGATCGAGAACGCAGCCCAGTTAGTACTCCTTAGGCTACTACTTGTAATCAGTCCTACCTTCTCTTAGAGGAGTCAGGCCCGCACTCTGGACTCCTCCTGCCCTTGGTATGCGTAAGGGACTGTTTTCTAACTCTTCTTAGAGTACGATGAAGGTTTCTGAACTCGTTCCAAGTAACTGGTACAAGAAATGAGACATGAACACAACGACAGGGCCAGTCGATTCCCCCCCATCCCCTCTATGAAAACTTCTCACCCTATTTTTGAACAGTCACACACAAGTAAGCACAAGCAACTGACGACATTAAAGGAAATTAAAGCACAAAGAATCACCAGAGAAGGAACGGCCAAATTCACAAAAGCTGTCCTTTGAGACCATCAGAGCCTGGACCGGGATACAAACGTCCATTCCCATTTTCTAATGCTAGCCAGCTAGATCTAAGGCAGGAAAGAGAGACCGGGTGCCTCTACGTTTCTGTTAAAAAGGACAATTTCACCTATTGCAAGTAGCGACAAAGGAGAAACTATGACGACCTTTCCAAGTCAATCTAACGTTCAGTGAGTCCATCTAACGAGGCAAAGGAGGTGAAAAGTCACACCACGCGTGGAGCAGAGAGAACAGCAAAAGACTGGACACAATGGACAAAGAAAAAAAAGTTTCTTTCTTCAAAAGGAAAATAATAAAAACTAGCTGGAAAACTTCGGTGAGACAGGCCCAATGAACCCAATCTGTACAAACAGTGGCAATAAGCCACGAGCGGGGTCTCTGATGCACCTCAAAATAGGAATACGTGACGTACCTAAGACAAGCGTTAAGAAAAGTAACGTTCAGAACAAGTCAATTCCCCGATCTGTCTGTAACAGGTAGGAGATACAACTTAGCAGGTAAAAACATCAGCCGGTTAACAGGGGCACGCAATCCTACGCAGACGGCCCATCCGCGTTCGTACC